CAGGACAAGGGGATGCTTCCTGAATACCAACTGTCCCTGATGGCAATCCAGCAGTGAGGTGGAACCCCGCTGCTCCCACCAAATGGCCCAGTTTGGAAAAATTCGTGGATGAGACTGAGGCTGAGCCTGTTGAGAAGAACCTGTGGAGCAGTAAGTAGACCAGGACTGTTTCCCTAAGTTCTAATCCGTGGCCTGGGGCAAGGCATTTCCCCTATCTGGGCACCTGTTTTCTTATCCCACCCGGTGGGATGTGGTGGGGAGTGGTTATATAACACTGCAGTTGACCCTTGAACACGAGCTCGAACTGCACAGGTCCAATTACAGGTAGCTTTTCTTCTGCCTCTGCCACTCCTGAGACTGCAAGACCAACCCCTCTTCTTCCTCCTCCTCCTGAGCCTTCTCAGCATGAAGACAACAAACATGGAAAAACATGATGATGATCCACTTCCACTTAATGAATAGTAAATATATTTCCTCTTCCCTACGATTTCCTTAATAACATTTTCTTTTCTCCAGCTTACTTTAAGAACACAGTATATAATCTCTGTAACATACAAAATATATGTCAATCAACTTTATGTTCTCAGTAAGGCTTCTGTTCAACAGTAGGCTATTAGTAGTTAAGTTCTGGGGGTGTGAAAAGTTATCTGTGGATTTTCAACTGAGCACGGGGGTCAATGCCCCTAACCCCCGCATTGTTCAAGTGTCAAGTGTAGATGATCTCAAAGTTGCCTTCCAGTTCTGAGATTAAGGGGGGCTAATTTTAATGACCTGGGACAGCTACATTTTAGAACACTTCTATCACTGGATATTTTCTGCTTAACGAAAACAACTTATATGTGCACATCACTTTCCTAGAATCAAAGTCTTCCAGGTAAAACCACATGAAGTAGATAGGGCAGAGATTCTCACCACCCCCCGTTTTTTTTTTTTTTTTTTTGGAGACAGAGTTTTACTCTTGTTGCCCAAGTATGAGTGAAATGGTGCAATATTGGCTCGCTGCAACCTCCACCTCCTGGGTTCAAGCAATTCTCCTGCCTCAGCCTCCCAAGTAGCTAGGACTACAGGTACATGCTCCCATACCAGGCTAATTTTTTTGTATTTTTAGTAGAAACAGGGTTTCACCATGTTGGCCAGGCTGGTCTCAAACTCTTGCCCTCAGATGATCTGCCTGCCTTGGCCTCCCAAAGTGCTGGGATTACAGGTATGCGCCAGCATGCCCGGCCTTCTCATCCTCATTTTTAACATGAAAAACTTAAGGCCCAGACAGACGTGGCAGTTAATAAGCAGGAATTCAGTAGTTCTGGGTTTAAGTTCCATCTTAGAGAGTGAACAGCTGTGTGACCTTGGGCCAGTAGTCACCTAGCCTCCGTTTCTTTACCTGTAAAATGGAGACAAGGCTGGGTACAGTGGCTCATGCCTGTAATCCCAGCACTTTGGGAGGCCAAGGCAGGAGGATCAATAGAGTCCAGGGGTTTGAGACCAGCCTGAGCAACACGGTGAAACTCTGTCTCTACAAAAATACAAAAATTAGCCAGGCATGGTGGTACATGCCTGTAGTCCCAGCTACTTGGGGGACTGAGCTGGAAGGATCGCTTAAGCCTGCGAGGTTGAGGCTGTGGAGAGTAATGATCATGTCAGTGCACTCCAGCCTGGGTGACAGAGTAAGATTCTGTTTCAAAAAAAAAAAAAATCTGGTAACAATAAAATAACCTGTTTTAGGAAGTTAGAGAGAAAATTAAGCAAGCATTATTGAATGGATCAATTATGATACTGCATGTCAAGCACTTAGCACAAACCTATGTTATGAAATAAATGTTTGTGTCCCTCAAAATTCACATGTTGAAGCTGTAACCTCCAGTGTGGTTGTATTTGGACATGGGGCCTCTAAAGAATAATTAAGATTAAATGAAGTAATCAGGGTGGGGCCCTGATCAGACAGAATTTGTGTCCATGTGAGAAGAGACACTGGAGAGTTCACTTTCTCTAATACCTTGCCTGCACAAGCACCTGAGGAAAGGCCATGTGAGGACATAGCAAGAAGGCAGCCGTCTGCAAGCTGGGAAGAGAGCCCTCATCAGAAATCAACTCAGTTGAAATCTTAATCTTGGACTTCCAGCCTCCAGAACTACAAGAAAATAAAACCTGTTGTTAAAGCCATTTGGCCTGTGGTATTTTGTGATAGCAGCCCAAGCTGCTAATACATCCTTGCACATCCAATATACATTAGCTATTGTTGTTATCTGTTGTTACTGTTACTTCTCATGTCCAAAGTCCCACAACAAGGAAGTCAGTGAGTGGCTGAGCCTGGCTGAGGAAGCAGGTCCTTCACTCATCAGGCCACCTTCCTGCTCTTGTGGCAGGAATACCCCCAGTCCCCTCCTGGGACTCCCTGTCTCCGTGATTGCCTCTATCCCTCCCTCCACCTCAACCGCAAGGGCAGGGCTTATGGTACAGGAGGGGTGTGTGTGTGTGTGTGTGTGTGTGTGTGTGTGTGTGTGTGTGTGAGAGAGAGAGACTAACCCAGAGGAAGGGGGGCTGTGGGGTAAGCAGGAGGAGGTTCCTTTCCTGATCAAAAGAAGCAGGAAATTCTCTTCTGTCTCTGGTTCCTGGGAACAACTTCTTCTTCTTTTTTCTTCTTCTTCCCCTTCCCCTTCCCCTTCCCCTTCCCCTTCTCCTTCTTCTTCTTCTTCTCCTCCCAAAGTGCCGGGATTATAGGCGCGAACCACCACGCCCGACCTTGGACTTAACAATTTTCAAAGTTCCTCCACTTCCCTCAGCTGAGCCTCACAATGGTCCTGGGAAGCAGACAGGAGTTTCCACCGACCACCCAAGGCCATACTGCACGTGGGAGCAGATGTGGAGCTAGAACCCAGGTATCCCTGGGGCTTGTTCTGACACACAAAGGTCTGCATTGTGAAAGGACATGAATGTCACACCTGCGGGGACTTAGGACCCAGCTAAATCCATGGCTGTGAATTCATCTCGGGATGCAGAGTTCCTGTAAGAAAAGAAAAGAAAAGAAAAGAAAAGAAGAAAAGAAAAGGAAAGAAAAGGAGAGCTAGGACGCGTGGACAGACGCTTTTGCTCCAGTTTCCATAAACACTGCCCCATTTGCTCATGCTGTTCCCTCCTGTTAGAACATCTTCATCCCACGCTCTTACTCTTGCTGACTCATCATGTTTCACAATACACTTGAATTTTTCTCTCTTCCAGGAAACCTCTGCCCTTCTCTGAAGAGGGAAAAAGTGACCCTCCTCATACTCCCAGAGTACCAGGTGATTCTCTACAGCATTATCATTAAAAATCAGGGGCTGCATTCTCTCCCTCTGTCCCAGTAGTCTGGGAGCTCCTCAGGGGTGAGGACTCCCCTTTCTCATCCTGGTGTTTCCTATTGGCAATGCCTGCCACTCAGTAGTAGGTGCTTGTTGACTGAGACTATTGATCACAGGCAGGTTTGAATGTCTTTGTTCCCTCATCTCTACCCCTGTTAAGGGATTACGGAGCGTCCTATTCATTTCGGGCATATAGAAGATGCTGTTAAAGTTTACTGAATTGAATGTAACAATCATTCTGCAAAATCTGAGCAGAGAAGTCATTAGGTTTCAAAATACTTAGATAAAAACATTAAGGTGGCTCACGCCTGTAATTCCAACACTTCGGGAGGCCGAGGCAGGCGGATTACTTGAAACCAGAAGCTCGAGACCCTGACTACTAAAAATACAAAAATGAGCCGGTCGTGGTGGCGCGCGCCTGTAAATCTCAGCTACTCAGGAGGCTGAGGCACGAGAACAGCTTGAACCGGGAGGCAGAGGTTGCAGTGAGCCGATATCGCCACTGAACTCCAGCCAGGGTGACAGCGAAACTCTGTCAGAAAAACAGGAAACAAAAAACCTGTGAGGTACTGAGACCACAAACCAGTGCTCAAAATATACCCATTTCCTTTCTTGTCTGGACTAAAGCGGGGTAGGGAAGGGTGAGAAGGAGGGGATCGGCCCTCCCAACAAGTCTCATCTTCCCCAGATGCTGCTCGGTGCTCAGGGGCTGCAAGTACTCTGTCTTTGCACAGAGGAGTGGGGACTCCAGCTGTGCATGGGGGCGCACACTAGGCCCATAGCTTGTAATGGACCAGATATAAAGTAAGGGAGGCGAAGCAGACGCTCTCTTGGAAAGGAGGCTCCTGAGTCCGTCTTGGGGCTTCCCCCAGCCAACTGTTTCCCAAATCAGTATACAGTAGGCGCTTGGTAAATACTAAGCCTAGTAAAGGACTGAATGATGGTAGACCGAACCCCCAAAGCAAAAGAGAAAGGGTCCAACAGCGCCTCCTTGAGGTGCTCTGCCCCAAGCCACTGGGAGAAACGTTGCAGCCCGCGCCGAACGCCGCACAGCATAAAGGATTCCCGACCGCCGGGCAGCGGTGCTCGGAGGGCACAGGTCTACGCCGTCCCTCACGCAGTTTCGGAGAAGGAGCGCTGGGCCCATGGAGGGAAGGCGGCAGGCTCGGCGGCTGCGGAAGCTCGCTGGGGCAGGGGCTCAGGGCGGAGGTCTGATGGTGGAGGCCACCGAGAACTGTCACGGAGCCGCGTCCGCACAGCGAGCATCCCTTATTCATTCAGGGCGAGTGTGTATTTGGGGCAGCGCGCGGGGGTGCTGACCAAGACCGGAGAGCTCCCGGCGCGGCCGCCGGCGGAGCGAAGGCTAGAACCCCTATGAGCGCCCCCCAGCGCCCCTGAGCGCTCCCTGCCGGTGCATGACGCCCCCAGCGGGAGGCAGGGATCAGCAGAGCCTCGCGCCCCGAGGCCCGCCCCCGTCTCCCCACAAGGGCCGTGAGTCCCGGGTCCGAGCCCTCCGCGCGGGGATCGGGCGGTTGCCCGGCGAGTTGTCCCTCGGCGGCCTTCTGGCCCCGCCGGCGCGGATGCAGGGAGGTCCACGCAGCGACCGCGGGAGGAGGGGTGGGCGGGGCTGCCGGGGGTGGGGCCCCCGGGGCGGGGCGCGCTGTGTCGCGTGTAGGTGCTCGGTCCTGCTGGAGGCCGCCAGTGGCACACACGCGGTCCCGAGATGGCGAGCATACGAGTGGCTAAGGTAACCGCGTATAGGATGACCCCTTTCTCTTGGCTCCCCTCGCCCCCCGCATTCCCTCCTCTCTCCATCCCCTCCGCGGCTCTCCGAGCACATTCATTTATTTGTCTGGGCATCAGAGCTGGCTGAATCCCTGTCCTTCCCGCGCTCTACTCAGAGGAGGACTGGCCTGCAAGAGTGGCCAGAGCTGGAGTTTTGGGGGTTTGGGGGCCTCCGCTTGAGCCGTTTGCGTAGTGAAGATGAGCTAGGTCCTCCAAAACTGGTTTCAATTTCGCTTTTCCTGCCTGAGACTTGTGATGATAACTGGGTGCATCTCCAGTGCAGGAAAGGTCCTTGGCATCTTGGTGCCAGGCATTCTGCTACTGCTGGTGGTGGGTTGTGAACACAGATGACCAGGATGAAGTCCTTGCCTTGGAATAAGCCCATGGCCCATCCCATAATTTGATGGGATTACTAGAGTCCTGAGAAACACGGAATGCTGATTAGAATTTGGGGCAAAGTTCCCTGGGTATTCTCTGGAGGAAAGATGCGGAGGTGGACCTGGAAGGCCTCCTGGAGTAGGTGGCTTGCATTCGTGAGTTATACAAGTGTTGAATGCCTACACGTGCTGGACCTGTTCTAGGAGGTGGGGGGTGGGGCGGGCAGAGATGAACACAAATCCGGCCCTTGTTGAATTTTATTCCTATCAGGGACACAATTTGAAATAACATCTGGAAGGATGCGGAGGGGGCAGTTCCCGCCAGAAGGTGGGGAAACCCAGGGTGTTTGGAGATGGATTAGGGAGGAAGGTGATCCTGGTGAAGTGAGTATGGCACCGCAAGTCTCTCAGAAGTGCGCCTTCCAGTCTGCAGGGTGGAGGGGCAGGCTCTAGGGGAGGAAGAGGGTGCCTGCTACCCACAGCCTCTGAGAAGAAAATGGCCTCAGACTGGGACGCCCAGAGCAGGCTTGGCCTAGATCCTAAATCTGGAGGTTGGCAGCAAAATGAGTCAGAGGGTCTTTCCAGCCAAGGGGAAGAGAGATGGGAGCCAGAATTTACTGCACTGGAACCATTACATGCCAAACAGTGTACATGGTTCTTTCATCTAATTCTCATAGCAGTTCTGTGAGATAAGTAATATATACCTGCATTTTACAAATGAGGAAATTGAGGCGCAGAGAAAACAACTTGCTTGTGCAGAGTCTTTCAGTAAGGAGCAATAGGACTGGACTACGAAGCCAGGTCCACAGGCCTCCAGCCTGCAGGCTCTTTCAATGGCCTTTCTACTTTCATTTTCTGTTCCGGTTAGTCAGGTGATTTCCTATTAGGCAGTAGGAAAGAACTGTGTGTTTTAAGTTGGGTTTCAACTTCCTCAGGCTTTGGGAAAGTTTTGGCAGAACTCACCCTAAATAGATAAAGTCCAAGTGTGCCCAGTTATAGTAAAGTCAGGGAAATGTTTATTCCAGTTCTTTTCTGGTCAGCCTTGGGCTTTGTTCTTGCCAAACAGTCACAGATGATAGAGAAACTCTTAGGAGTACAGGTGCTTCTAGTTTGGAATAAAGATAAATGAGGGCCCATTGACTCTGGGTGGGAGGCACCAGAAGCAGCTTATTGGTTGAACAGAGATGGAAGGTAGACTGAGAGGAGAGGGGCATGGGATGTGTTTATATTATATGTTGGGGGTGGGGAGAAGGCAGAGAAAGTTCAAATGGTCCCCAGTGTTAAAGGACCCCTCCTCAACTGTGGACTGGGTTTGGAGAGCTTCCGTTTCTCAACATCATCACTGCTGACATTTTGGGTCAGATAACTCTTATGTATCCGTTGTATGTTTTTAGATTTGAGGTTACTGCAAGGTTTATAAATAATATCTTATAACCCGTTATTTTAAACTAATGACAAGTTAACACTGATTGCATAAACAAACAGACAAGCAAAATGAAACCTAATAAAGGCCAGGTGTGGTGTCTCACTCCTGTAATATCAGCACTTTGAGAGGCTGAGGTTGGCGGATTGCTTGAGCCCAGGAGTTTTGAGACCAGCCTGGGTAGCATGGGCGGATTGCATGAGCCCAGGAGTTCTAGACCAGCTTGGGTAACACGGCCAAACTCCGTCTCTACAAAACGTACCAAAATTAGCTGGGGCATGGTAGCACACTGCTGTAGTCCCAGCTACTTGGGAGGCTGAGATGGCAGGATCACCTGAGCCCAGGAGGTTGAGGCTGCAGTGAGCTGTGATTGTGCCACTGGACTCCAGTCTGGGTGACAGAGTGAGACACTGTCTCAAAAAAACAAAAACAAAAACAAAAAAACAAAACAAAAACCTAATACAAACTGTACACTTTAACTTCGTCTTTCTGCTTTTTAACTTTTTCTTTCTTTCTTTCTGTCTTTCTGTCTGTCCTTCCTTCCTTCCTTCCTTCTTTCTTTCTCTCCTCTCTCTCCTTCTCTCTCTTTCTCTCTCTCCTCCTCTCTTTCTCTTTCTCTTTTCTCTCTTTCTTTCTCTCCCTCTCCTCTCCTCTCTTCTCTTTTCTTTTCTTCACAGAGTTTAGCTCTTGTTGCCCAGGCTGGAGTGCAATGGTGCAATCTTGGCTCACTGCAACCTCTGCCTCCCCAGTTCAAACAATTCTCCTACCTCAGCCTCCCGAGTAGCTGGGACTATAGGTGCCCGCCACCACGCCCAGCTACTTTTGTATTTTAGTAGCGATAGGGTTTCACCATGTTAGCCAGGCTGGTCTTGAACTCCTGACCTTAGGTGATCCACCGGCTTCAGCCTCCCAAAGTGCTGGGATTACAGGCGTAGCCACTGTGCCCAGCCCTAATCTGTTTTTCTGTGCACTTACTATAACCAGTGAGTTTTGTACCTTCAGATGATTTCTTTTCTTTTGTTTTTTCTTTCTTTCTTTCTTTTTTTTTTGAGACAGAGTTTCCCTCTTGTTGCCTAGGCTGGAGTGCAATAGTGTAATCTCGGCTCACCACAACCTCTGCCTCCCGGCTTCAAGTGATTCTCCTGCCTCAGCCTCCCGAGTAGCTGGGATTATAGGCATGCACCACCACGCCTCGCTAATTTTGTATTTTTAGTAGAGACGGGGTTTCGCCATGTTGTCCAGGCTGATCTTGAACTCCTGACCTCAGGTGGTCCACCCACCTCACCCTCCTAAAGTGCTGGGATTACAGACGTGAGCCACCGGGCCCGGCCCAGATGATTTTTTATTGCTCATTAATTTTTTTTTTTAATTTCGGATTGAAGAACTCCTTTTTAGCATTTCTTGTAGGACAGGTCTGGTGTTGATGACATCTCTCAGCTTTTGTTTGTCTGGGAAAGTCTTTATTTCTCCTTCATGTTTGACGGATATTTTCACTGGATACACTATTCTATGGTAGAAGTTTTTTCCCTCAGTCATATTTTATTTAAATATGTCGTACCACTCTCCCTTGGCCTGTAAGATTTCCACTGAAAAGTCTGCTGCCAGACATATTGGAACTCCATTGTGTGTTGTTTATTTTCTCTTGCTGCTGTTAGGACCCTTTCTTTATCCCTGACCTCTGGGAGATTGATTATTAAATGTCTTTGAGGTAGTCTTCTTTGGGTTAAGTCTGCTTGGTGTTCTATAACCTTCTCATATTTGGATATTGATATCTTTCTCTAGATTGGGGAAGTTCTCTGTTACTATCCGTTTCAATAAACTTTCTAGCCCTGTCTCTCTCCCTACCTCCTATTTAAGGCCAGTAACTCTTAGATTTGCCCTTTTGAGGCCCTTGTCTAGATCCTGCAGGCATACTTCATTCTTTGCTGCTTTTTCTTCTTTTTTTTTTTTTTGTGAGACGGAGTCTCGCTCTGTCACCCAGGCTGGAGTGCAGTGGAGTGATCTTGGCTCACTGCAAGCTCCACTTCCTGGGTTCACGCCATTCTCCTGCCTCAGCCTCCCGAGTAGCTGGGACTACAGGTGCACGCCACCACGCCCAGCTAATTTTTTTTTTTTTTTTTTTTTAGTAGAGATGGGGTTTCACCGTGTTAGCCAGGATGGTCTCGATCTCCTGACCTTGTGATCTGCCAACCTCGGCCTCCCAAAGTCTTTGTTTATTCTTTTATTCTTTTGCTTCATCTGACTGCATTTTCAAATACGCTGTCTTTAAACACTCTAATTCTTCTGCTTGATCAATTCTGCTATTAAAAGGCTCTGATGCATTTTAGTATGTTAATTACATTTTTTTCTTTTCTTTTTTTTTATTTTTTGAGACAGAGTTTCGCTCTTGTTGCCTAGATGAGAGTGCAATGGTGTGATCTCGGCTCACTGCAACCTCTGCCTCTCCAATTCTCCTGCCTCAGCCTCCCAAGTATCTGGGATTACAGGCATGCGCCACCATGCCCGGCTAATTTTTGTATTTTTAGTAGAAATGGGGGTTTCACCATGTTGGCCAGGCTGGTCTTGAACTCCTGACCTCAGGTGATCTGCCCGCCTCGGCCTCCCAAAGTGCTGGGATTACAGGCGTGAGCCACTGCACCCGGCCTCAATTGCATTTTTTGACTCCGGAATTTCTGCTTGATTCTTTTTAATTATTTCAATTTTTTTGTTAAATTTGTTGATGGGATTCTGAATTCCTTCTCCGTGGAGGAAATATTTAATTTCTTTGAGTTTGCTCTAAACAGCTATTTTGATTTCTGTGTCTGAAAGGTCACGTGTCTCTGTTTCTCTGGACTTGGCTCTTGTGCCTTATTTAGTTCGTTTGGTGAGGCTGTGTTTTCCTGGATCGTCTTGAAGCTTGTGGATGTTTGTTGGTGTCTGGGCACTGAGGAGTTAGGTATTTATTATAGTCTTTGCAGTCTGGGCTCGTTTGTACTCATCCTTCTTGGGAAGGCTTTCTAGGTATTCGAAGGGCTTGGCTGTTGTGATCTAATTTTTGGTCACTGCAGCCATGTCTACATTAGGGGGCACTCTAAGCTTAGTAACACCGTAGTTCTTGCAGACTCTTGGAGGGCACTACCTTGGTGGTTTTGGATAACATCAGGAAGAATTCTCTGGATTACCAGGTAGAGACTCTCATTTTCTTCCCTTACTTTCTCCCAAACAAATGGAGTCTTACTGAGCTCCCTGGAGCTGGGTGAGGTGTGACACAAGCGTCCCCATGGTCACTTAGAACTGGGACTGCACTAGGTCAGGCCTGAAGCCAACACAACACTGGGTTTTGCCCAAGGCCCGCTGTAATCACTACCTGGCTATGCCCTATGTTCGCTCAAGGCCCTAGGGCTCTACAATCAGCAGGTGGTGAAGCCAGTCAGGGTTTTTGTCCTTCCTTTTAGGGCAGCTAGCTCGCTGCTGGGCCCCAGACAGGTCCACAGTTACTGTCCACGGGCCAGGGCCTGCAGTCGGAAACCTTAGAAATTTACCTGGTGCTCTGTTCTACTGCAACTAAGCTGGCACCGAAACCACAGGACACAGTCCTTCCCACTCTTCCCTCTCCTTTCCCCAGATATGGGAGTCTCTCCCCTTGTCCACCACCACCATGGGTCTATGAGGAGTACTGTCAGGGTACTACTGCTGATGTTCGCCTAAGGCCCAAAGGCCCTTCAGTCAGCTTGTGATGAATGTGATCAGGCCTGAGACTCACCCTGCAGGTCAGCGGTCTCCCCTCTTGTTGGGCCTGATAATGCTTTGTTAGGATGTTTATCATCATCTCTGGCCTCTACCCACTCTCCCAATTTGTGCAAACAGAAAAATGTTCCCAGATATTACCAAATGTCGCTAGTTAGATAAAATTGCCGCTGGTTGAGAACCACTGGTTTGTACCAATTCATTGTTCCAGAGAAATGTGACCTGCCCTTGAGTGTCTTTTTATCTTCCCCAAGAAGAAAAGGCCTGTAGTCCCACAAGATGGACCCTAAAAGCGGGGCAGCATTCCTTTGTCAAATACATTTGAGAAGTACTGCACGCTGTGGGCCCACATCTTGGTCAATCACCGTACACAATAGCATATTAAAGGCTCAGGGAAGTTCTACAGTGAAGAAATCTCTTTAGCCTAGATTTCCCAAATGTACTTGACCTTGGAACGCTTTTCCTGTACTACCTATTAACCTTCTGCAGGACATACTGTACACATTTGCCCCATCTGGGCCCTCTACCCTGGTGCTTCTCCCCTTCTCTGCATGGATTCCTGCTCATTCTGCATGGCCCAGCTCACAGAGTGCATCCTCTGTGAAGCCTTCTTTCTCCCCTCTCATCTCCCTCCCTACTGTATATCCATACACATTCACATAATCACATCCATGTTTCGTCCATTACTCTACTGAAATTCTTGAGGACTGGGTCCTGTCTCAGTTACATGCCAGTAGAGAATGCTCAGTGATAGCAGTTGGGAGAATTCAAAAGGGATATTCAGGTGCTTGGGCCACAGTTCTGGGAAGGTGAGTCACTCCTTGCCCCCTTGTTTCCCTGCGTGGAGTTCTTCTCTGCTGTGGTCCTCTGGAGTCATTTCCTTTCTCCAGCCCTGATCTGGCAGAGTTTGAAGCGGTGGGGTCCTGTCTTTGCTGTAGATGCTCAGTAGATGCTTATGGAAGGAAGACAGGAAGAGAGGCAGGGAATTAGAACCTAGTGACTTTCTAGGAAGAAGGCTAGAGAGTAGAGGTTAAGTACCCTGCTTTCAAGAGAAAAGCCTCCTAAGAGCACTTACTCTCAAGTTTTAATATCTGGGAGAAGTGATCTATTTTTCCCTGCACTGAGTACCTAGGTGTACCAGAGTTGTGGTGAGGCCACAGTCAGAAAATTCACTTAAAGCACTGGCTGGGCGCAGTGGCCCACGCCTATAATCCCAGCACTTTGGGAGGCCGAGGCGGTGGATCATGAGGTCAGGAGATCGAGACCATCCTGGCTAACATGGTGAAACCCCGTCGCTACTAAAAATATAAAAAATTAGCCAGGCATGGTGGTGCGCGCCTGTAGTCCCAGCTACTCAGGAGGCTGAGGCAGGAGAATGGCGTGAACCTGGGAGGCGGAGGTTGCAGTGAGCCGAGATCGTGCCACTGCACTCCAGCCTCGGCGACAGAGCGAGACTCCATCTCAAAAAAAAAAAAAAAGAAAAAAGAAAAAGTTCCAACACTGTGCCTGATACATACTGAGTGCTCAGTAAATGCAGGCTCTGACTTTACCGGCTTCTGTCCCGAAGATGGCCAGTTTCGGACTTGGGACAACTTGCTGCTGGGACAGGGGGAGGGGGCTGAAATAGGGAGGACTAGGTCAACTGCCCACTCACTTGTGTCCCCTGCAGGAGCTGGAGGATCTTCAGAAGAAGCCTCCCCCGTACCTGCGGAACCTGTCCAGCAGTGATGCCAATGTCCTGGTGTGGCACGCTCTCCTCCTACCTGTGAGTATCCATGGGGACTGTGGCTTTGGATTGGGGACAGCTTAGGCCAGGGACATGGGCAGGGAGGGTTAGGACTAGGCAAGAATTTTCCCTGCCTTGGGATCCTTTTACTGGAGGTTATCATTGCTGGAGGGGTCCTCTCTCTGAACTGATTGCTTCTGAGATCCAGATACTTCTGAGGTTCATCTTCCGATAAAGATGCCAAAGGACTTTTGGACTTAGTAGGAGACCCCTTCCTTAAATCAGTAGCCACCAAGCCCACCACAGAACTTCAGGACACAAACAGCATCAGAAAGAAGAAGAAATAAAGATCTCTTGGACCTTTGTCAAGGGGTAGGGATAAACTTCCAGGCTCCCACCATTGGTCGAAGTTGCTCCCGTGAACTTAAATTGTATTTTGTTTTTCTTTAGTCTTATTTCAGAAAATTGTTACATATGAAAACACAAATGCTCATTTCTACTGTTCTTATTTTTCTCTGTTTATTATTTGGTATTTTTTTGATAAAGTCTCTCTGAAAGCAGTATTCCAAAATAGTTATCAGAGTGCAGATCTCTCTTTTTTTCATCCGATTATTAGTGACTAAAGATACTTTGAGAAATTAATCTACACTTTTCGTTACTTGGAAATAAAATTGAAGACATTGAACTTTTGGTTAGTCAAAGCTCTTTGGAATGTCAAGGGAATAATTCATCTTATTATTTAGGATTTGGACTTTTTTTTTTTTTTTTTTTGAGACAGAGTCTCACTGTGTCACCCAGGCTGGAGTGCAGTGGTACGATGTTGGTTCCCTGCAACTTCCACTTCCCGGGTTCAAGCGATTCTCCTGCCTCAGCCTCCTGAGTAGCTGCGACTACAGGCACGTGTCACTATGCCTGGCTAATTTTTGTATTTTTAGTGGAGACAGGGTTTTGCCATGTTGGCCAGGCTGGTCTCAAACTCCTGGCCTCAAGTGATCTGCCCACCTCGGCCTCCCAAAGTGCTGGGATTACAGGTGTGAGCCACCGCACCCAGCAGGGTTTACTTTTTATTGACAATGCAGTGGCCTAGGTTGTGTCATCTTCTCTTTAAACTAAACTGTAGTCCAGAAAAGTAGAGAAAGGCCTGAGTCAGGTCACCGTAGGAATCTGTCAAGTCCCTTGGGTTACTGTGTTGAAGCGATCCACTTACCTGGCTTAGAGTGAGCACACCTGTTCTAGACCTCAGGTGCCAGGAGAAGATGCTCAAAGGAGCTCCAGGAACTGATTATATCTCCAAGGAGACCAACTTTGAGATGATGAAAGTAAAGCGGGGGTGATAGGAAAACCTAGGAAAGGTCTCGTTTAGCAGAATACTATGAAATCAGAGGACCTCAATGGTTGGCAAGACCAAGGTGGTTAAGTGTGCCCCAGGAACTGGCCACAGACCTTCCACCCATATAGGTGTCCTGAAGAAACATGATACTTGAGAGGAATCCCAGAACTGGAGAACCAAAGCTTGATGTAAGTCATCAGCTAACCTGAAGGTTCCTGGTGAGGCCATAAAGGAGGGGATGGTTGACTGGCAGAGGAAGGAGAACCAAGAAAGGTCTTTTGGAATAGCAGAGAAATTCCTCCTCAAAGACTCGGCCTCAGTTTATGTGTTCACCAAAGTGGCCCCACTTGTCACATCTTGGTCATGGAAGGTTTCAGCTCAATGAGCCTTTTGAAGCTAATAGTAAGAATTCTCATTCCTTGAGAGTCTCCTGTGGACCAAGTGCTGTTTTAAGCACACGACATATGAGGTCATATTGAATCTTCTCAACCGTCCAATGAGGAAGGTTGTCTTCCTCTTAAAATTGCGGAGATAGAAACCAAGGAGGTTAAGTAACTGGTCTGTGGTCACTCAGAGTAAGGTAGCAGGAGTGGAATTCAGCAGACTCCAAGGTCTTCTCTTTTAACCACTCCATGAAAAACGAATAGTTTTCAAAATTTTTTAAAAAGTAGCAGGCTGGGCACGGTGACTCACACCTATAATCCCAGCACTTTGAGAGGCTGAGGTGGGTGGATCACCAGGGGTCAGAAGTTTGAGACCAGCCTGGCCAACATGGCTAAACCTTGTCTCTAGTAAAAATACAAAAATTAGCTGGGCATGGTTGTGGGCACCTATAATCCCAGCTACTCAGGAGGCTGAGGCATGAGAATCTCTTGAACCTGGGAGGCGGAGGTTGCAGTGACCTGAGAATGGGCCATCGCACTCCAGCCTGGATGACAAGAGTGAAACTCTGTCTCAAAAAAGCAACAACAAAAAGTAGCAAAATACTTTATTTAACCTAGAACTTAGAAGGTAGTAGGACTTTCTCAATTGACTGTAAGATACAGTATGGAATCCTCTGGTCCAACTTCTTCATTTTACAAACACGGAAACTTATCCTCAGAGAAAGCTTAGTCACACAGCAAGCCTGAGGCAGAGCTGGGACAGGTCCCCAGAGCTCTCAGCTCCATGACTCTGCTACCTCCTTCCTCTATTAAGACCTACAAAGCCCAGAAAGAAGCCCTTTCAGGCAGGACACACTGATACCCCTGTCTTAGTCCATTTGTGTTGCTGTAAAGGAATACCTAAGGCTGCATAATATATAGAGAAAGGTTTATTTGGGTCAAGCTTCTGCAGGCTGTACAAGAAGCATGGCGCCAGGTGCAGTGACTCATCCCAAAATCCCAGCACTTTGGGAGGCCGAGGCAGGTGGATCACCTGAGGCCAGGAGTTCAAGACCAGCCTGACCAACATGGAGAAACCCCGTCTCTACTAAAAATACAAAATTAGCCGGTCATGGTGGTGCATGCCTGTAATCCCACCTAGTTAGGAGGCTGAGGCTGGAGAATCGCTTGCACCCGGAGGCAGAAGTTGCGGTGAGCTGAGATCATGCCATTGCACTCCAGCCTGGGCAACGAGAGTGAAACTCCATCTCAAAAAAAAAAAAAAAAAAGAAGCATGGCACCAGCATCTGCTTCTGGTGAGGCCTCAGGAAGCTTCCACTCATGGTGGAAGGCAAATGGGAGCCACATATACAGATCACATGGCAAGAGTGAGAGAGAGAGAGAGAGAGAGAGAGAGAGAGAGAGAGAGAGAGAGAGCAGGTGCCAGGATCTTCTAAACAACCAGCTTTTTCAGTAAGTAATAGAGTAAGAACTCTCTTATTACTGTGAGGATGGCACTGAGCCATTCATGAGGGATCTGCCCCCAGGACCCATACACCTCCTACTAGGCCCCACCTCCAACACTGGAGATCACTCTGGAGTGCAGACTGAGACTCAAACTGCAACCTCTGCCTCCCAGGTTCAAGCAATTCTCATGCCTCAGCCTCCTGAGCAGCTGGGACTACAGGCGCACGCTACCACACCCAGCTACTTTTTTGTATTTTAGTGGAGACGGGATTTCATCATGTTGCCCAGGCTGATCTCGAACTCCTGAGCCCAGGCAATCCACCTGCCTCAGCTTCCCAAAGTGCTAGGATTACAGGCATGAGCCACCACCGTGCCGGTCTTGGGGATAAAATTTCAACCTGAGATTTGAGGAGACAAACATCCAACCACAGCACCCTCCCATCCTGCTCTGAGGCCTCAGCCATAGGCCTTCTCTGACTGATAGGCCCAGCCTTTTCTTCTTGAGACCATAAAAGGTGAGATATTTTCTCTTTATCTTCCTACTCTTTTATACTCTATCTTTTTTTTTTTTTGAGATGGAGTTTTGTTCTTATTGCCCAGGCTGGAGTGCAGGGCTGTGATCTCTGCTCACAACGTCGGCCTCCCAGGTTCAACTTCCACTTCTCGGTTCCTGCCTCCACCTCCCTGTGTAGCAGGTATTATAGGCACACGCCACCATGTGCAGCTAATTTTGTATTTTTAGTAGAGACAGGGTTTCTCCATGTTGGTCAGGCTGGTCTCGAACTCCCGACCTCAGGTGATCCACCCACCTTGCACTCCCAAAGTGCTGGGATTACAGGCATGAGCCACCGCGCCCGGCCTAGTTACTCCATCTCTCATCTCAGTGCGCTCGAGGTCACCATGATTTCTGTTTTGCCTATTAAGGAGGAGGAGCTCTGAAAATCTTGACTCTCTGCTGAACCACATATGCCATTCTTGCTATCTTTGCTCTGTCTTTTCAATAACAAAGGCTCTGAAAAGATTTGGTAATTTGGAACCAACCGAAGGCCCCTTTGTTCTGCACTGGGGTCACCCCGGTTCTGGGGTTTCTCCCTCCTAGGGCTGTGAGTAGTCATCTTGTGTAAAGGTGTAGGGTTGACAGTGCCGGGTTCCCATCCCTGCAAGGCTGCTGTGGTCCTAGGTGAGTTACTTACATACACTGAACTTGAGTTTTCTCCTCTGTAAATAGAGACGCTAATAATTGTGAGTTTTTGTACCTATTGTAGTAACTGACACATATGTAGTACTTGCCATGTGCCAGGCGCTGTTCTAAATCCTTGGCATAAATTAAATCATCTCATCCTCACATATGCCTTATGAAGAAGTTTATTATTATTGTCATATGGAAGCATGGAGAGGTGAAGTTACTTGCTCAAGATCACATTGCTAGTGAGTGTCAGAGCCGAGTCACACCCAGGCATGGTGGCTCTGGAGTCTGTGTGACCCGCATACTCTGTTGCCCAGGCTAATGCATGTCAAGTCCTTAGCACAGGACAGCACAGATAGGCGCTCAGAAAAGTGTTCAGGTCGCTCAAAGTCTAGAGGGTCTTCTCTTGGCCCCTTGCAGCTCCCAACCCCTCGGTCACTCCAGCCCCTGAGTTTGTTTGTGTTTAATTATGGTAAAATACATATAACACAATTTACTATCTTAACCGTTTTTAAGGATACAGTTCAGTGTCATTAAATAGGATTACAGCTGGGCATGGTGGCTCATGCCTGTCATTCCAGCACTTTGGGAGGCCAAGGTGGAAGGATCGCTTGAGGCCAGGAGTTCAAGACCAGCCCTGGCAACATAGTGAGACCCTATCAAAAAATTTTAAAAATTATCCAGGCTTAGTGGTGGGCTCCTGTAGTACCAGCTACCCAGGAGGCTGAGGTGGGAGGATCACTGGAGCCCAGAAGTTTGAGATTACAGTGAGCAATGATAATGCCACTGCACTCCAGCCTGGATGACAGAGCGAGACCCTGCTTCAGGAAACAAACAAACAACCATGGTTGCACAACCATCACCACCGTTCATCTCTAGAACTTTTTGTCCACCTGTACTGAAACTCTGTACCCCTTCAGTAACTCCCCATTCCTTTCTTTCCCCAGCACCTGGTGACCACTTTACTATTTCGTTTCTATGAATTTGACTATTCTAGGTGCTGTACTTCAGTGGTATCTTGCAATATCTGTCCTTTTTTGTCTAGCTTATTTCACTTAGCATAGTGTCTTCAAGGTTCATCCAGAGTGTAGCATGTATCAGAATTTCTTTCCTTTTAAGGCTAAATAATACTCCATTGTGTGTATATGCCACGTTTTGTTGATTGATCCACTTGGTTTGCTTTCACCTTTTGGCTGCTAGAAACATTGGTATACAAATACCTGTTTGCTTTCAGTTCTTTGGGTATCTACCCAGAAGTAGAACTGCTGGATCATATGGTAATTCAGTGTCTAATCTTTGGAGAAATGGCCATACTGTTTTCCACTGCAGCTGCACCTTTGTATTTTCCTAAGTTCCTGAGTTCTTAGGATTTCCTCATTTTCTCCATTTCCTCACCCCCATTCTAATGTTCTAAGAAAGGATGTTCCATCCTTTTCTTCCATAATCTCAGAAATCCATGAAAGCTGAGATGGTCCTTGGAGCTCATCTAGTCCGTCTTTATCCACTTTACAAATGAGGAAACTGAGGCCTAGAGGTGGGAAGTGGCTCAACCGTGGTCACTAGCAAAAGCCTGGATCAGACTTCTCTGCCTCCCAGGCCAGTGCCCTTTGGTGATTTCACATTTTCACTAATCCATGACTCAGTTGTCAAATGAATGCAGGTGCTGTGCGTATCCTGGCTCATGTGTCCCCCTGGGAGTGAAGCAGAGGATGCCTAGGACCCTGGGATGGGGGCAGGAAGGGAAGAAAATCAGACCGGAGCTTGACCCCTTTTCTCTCTGCACAGGACCAACCTCCCTACCACCTCAAAGCCTTCAACCTGTGCATCAGCTTCCCGCCTGAGTATCCGTTCAGGCCTCCCACGATCAAATTCACAACCAAGATCTACCACCCCAACGTGGACGAGAGCGGATATGTTTGCCTGCCCATCATCAGCAGTGAGAACTGGAAGCCTTGCACCAAGACTTGCCAAGGTGGGGCTGGGCTTTGCCCGGAGGAGGGACTGATACTGGGTAGAGATTACTGGAAGGGGGTTTCACAGACTTATTCTGAGCTTGAAAAGCCCCGAAGAGAGGAGGTGAAAATTGTGAGTCTTGGCTGAACTTACTGTGAGATAGAAGGGATGCTTCCTGGACAGACTGACCTCCTCCTGCCTCTGTTCCTGTACCTGTGCAGTTGTGACAGAGGAACATTGCTGTGGTTCATGAGAGAGGCAGCTTGGCTGTAGAGGGAAGGGCTCGGGATAAGAAAGCCCGCTGTTCCCTCTGTGGACTTTGGGCAAGTTTTCGTTCCTTTCTGGGACTCGGTGTCCTAAATGACAGTGGAGGGAACTGGCCTCATAATGAGAATAGCTGTCACTTGACTGAGCACTTTCAGCGCTATGCTGAGAACATCACATGCGGACTTCATTTTCATTTCCTCCACCACCCCGTGAGGTAGTGTTGTCCTTAGCCTTGTTGAATAGACCCGGACATTTGAGGCATGTGAGAGGCGAAGTGGTTGCCTAAGGTCATACAGATGGCAAACGGCAGCACTTGGCTGAGTCGCGAGCCACATGTGACTGTTGCAACTGAGGAACTCAGTTCTTTTCCTTTTTTAAGACAGAGTCTCGCTCTGTCGCCTAGGCCAGGGTGCAGTGGTGCAATCTCGGCTCACTGCGACCTCTGCCTCCCGGGTTCAGGCGATTCTCTGGCCTCAGCTTCTCGAGTAGCTGGAATTACAGGCGTGTGCCACCACATCCAGCTAATTTTGTGTTTTTAGTAGAGAGGGATTTTGCCATGTTAGCCAGGCTGGTCTCGAACTCCTGACCTCAGGCGATCCGCCTATCTTGGCCTCCCAGAGTGCTGGGATTACAGGTGTGAGTCACTGCGCCTGGCTGAAACTCAATTCTTAATGGTACTTAATTTTAATTTTTTTTTTCTTTTTTTTTGAGACACGGTCTGTCTCTATTGCCCAGGCAGTTAGTTCAATGGTGCGATCTTGGCTCACTGCAACCTCTACCTCCTGGGCTCAAGCCATCCTCCCACCTCAGCCTCCCAAGTAACTGGGACTACAGGAGCATGCCACTACACCTGGCTCATTTTTGTATGTTTTGTAGAGACCAGGTTTTGCTATGTTGCCCAGGCTGGTCTCAAACTCATGAGTTCAAGCCATCCACCCATCTTGGCCTCCCAAAGTGCTGCGACCACAGGTGTGAACCACCGTGCCCAGCCTGATTTTGATTCATTTAAATTTAGATGCCTGCCTGTGGCTAATGGTTACCATATTGAACAACGCAGCTCTAGAGCCTGTGACTGAGTCAGTGTGCAATCCTCTACCTGGACCACCTCAGGAGTTTTTAACTCAGGAAACAAAAGTCCTTTGCTTGGTGGGAGTGGGAGCAGGGAGAGGAGTGGTCCTTGGATGAGCTTCAAGGAGTCTGGGAACTATCTGTTTTGCACGTGGAGTGTGCGTCTGTCTCAGGAGATGGGCTGCTACCTTTACCAGGTTCCCAAAGGCATCTGTGAAAGATGAAGAGCCAGGGGGCCATGGTGGTTTTCAGTCTTTAGCCTTAGACCCCTTTTGCCCAAGGAAAAGTTTATTTGGACTATCAATATAATGGAGGAAAACAGAGTAGTTTTTGTTGAAATGGGGATAAGACCCAGAAACCTCACTTATTTCAGTGGCTCCCATGATGAAGAGCTTCTCTGAAGCCATGGAATGTAGTTGTTTGAAAACCACTGATGTCATCAGTCAAGGTCTTGGGTGTCACCAACCAAGAATGAGCGGGGTGTTTGATCTGGTCATAGAGTCATCCTGAGAGATGGAACCTTTCCTCCAAGGAGTGGGTGTGGAGTGTCAAGGCATTGGGAGTGGGCAGCCGTGACCCCCTTCCCTCTGCCCTGATGTCCTGGCCTGTCTCTCCCCAGTCCTGGAGGCCCTGAATGTGCTGGTGAATAGACCGAACATCAGGGAGCCCCTGCGGGTGGACCTCGCTGACCTGCTGACAGAGAATCCGGAGCTGTTCAGAAAGAATGCTGAAGAGTTCACCCTCCAATATGGAGTGGACCGGCCCTCCTAACTCGTGTTCTGATCCTCTGTGCACTGGATCCTTGGCATGGTGGACGGACACACCTCATGGACTGAGGCCAGAGCCCCCTATGGCCCATTCCCCACTCATTTTTTCTTTCTTAGGTTGTTAGTCATTCGTTTGTGTGTGGAGGGGGTAGAGGGAAGGGAGCTGTGAGTGTGTGTGTTGTGTGTGGACTCCCTCCCGGGTTCACCTGGCCACAGGTACACCCTTCCCACAGCCTTTGCATCCCCCAGAGCCAAGGGAGTTTAAGTTTGCAGAGTTACAGGCCAGTTCTCCAGCTCTCCATCTTAGAGACACAGGTCATCTCGCCGGCCTGCTTGCAGGAAATGAGCCCAGCAGCCAACTCGAATCCCCCTAGGGCTCAGGCACTGAGGGCCTGGGGACAGTGGAGCGTATGGGTGGGAGACATATGGAGGGTACCCTATTTACACCTGAGTCAGCAAAGCCACTGATGGGAATCTACAGATTTAGGTGCTAAACCGTTTATTTTCCACGGATGAGTCACAATCTGAAAAATCAAACTTCCATCCTGAAAATCTGTATGTTTCAAAACCACTTGCCATCCTGTTAGATTGCCAGTTCCTGGGACCAGGCCTCAGACTGTGAAGTGTGTGTCCTCCAGCATCCAGTCCAGGGGGAGCCACAGAAACCATGTTCTTGCTTAAGCCATTAAAGTCAGAGATGAATTCTGGAGTGCAGCTGAGTCTTTGATGAGGCGATGGGGTAGTTTCATCAGGACCAGAGAGGACTAGGGATTTAAGCATAAATTTCTGACCTTGCTTCCCCTGGATGTTCCCCAAACATCAAAAGGAATGTTGGCTATGGAAAAATAGGCCATCCTTGGACAGAGGTGCTTTCAGAAGGTACACAGGGATGACGTCCCCATTTTATTTTTTTTATTTGAGAGAGAGTCTCACTCCGTCACCCAGGCTAGAGTGCAGCAGTGTGATCTCGGCTCACTGCAACCTCCGCCTCCTGAATTCAAGCGATTCTCCTGCCTCAGTCTCTTGAGCAGCTGGGATTACAGATGCCCGCCACCACGACTGGCTAATTTTTGTAATTTTAGTAAAGATGGGGTTTCACCATATTGGCCAGGCTGGTCTCGAACTCCTGACCTCAGGTGATCCACCTGTCTTGGCCTCCCAAAGTGCTGGGATTACAGGTGTGAACCACCACGCCCAGCCAACATCCCCATTTTAAAGATGAGGCAATTGAGGCACAGAGCACTTCAGTGGATTGCTGGGGTCCACTCTGCCAATCCACACCCCTGCAGGTGAGCCAGGGTTGTGGCTGGGATGTGTTTTGTTTTCTGTAGTTTTCATGAGCTGCTTTTATCAGCACATATGCCCCAAATGGCTGATAAAACCAGACTGGATAGTTAGCAGGAAATTGTAATCAGCTCAGGGGTTTGTATCTCATGAGCAATGGAAAAGCAAAAACAAGCCAAAACTTCAGCCAGATAGAGGGATTAACTTAACCCAGAGGAAGAACTTTCTGGTTGCAATTGTTGTAAGCTCCTGGAATACTGCTGGCTTTTCAGAGACAGAATATGGGGTGATTTGAGTCAAGGAAGTCAACCAGATCCCACTTGTTTCTAGAGGGTCTTCTCCAGCTCTTGCCCTGGATTGCCCTTACCTGAGAAGCGTGGAAAGAGGGGAATATAACCAGAAGAAGTGCCACCAGAGTCAAAATGTAAGTTTGTTTTTTATTTTTGGCGACCACTTACTGAACACTTGAGTGGCAGGACTGGGCAAAGCTTTTTGCCCTTTTCATTATCTCATTTGACTCTCGCAACACCTTCATAAGGTTGCAACTTCCATTATCCCCTTTCAGCCTGTAAACTGAGGCCCAGAGAGGTTAACTGTATGGCCCAGTGTCACACAGCTGGTTAGTGGTGAGACCCAGGCCATTGTCCTTTCCCAGACACCTTGCATAGTTGTTGATACCTCAGCAGGTGAGGAAACCCCTGTGTCCAGAGTTTATCATCCCAGAGTGCAGACGTTCCTGGGCCAAGTATGGAGCGGGCACTGAGGGGCCAGAGAGGATTTTACAAAAGTACTTTTAATGCGGTTAAAACCAACGCCACATGCCCTTGCCTGAGCCCCTGGCTCTGGTGCCTCCATCGAGCAGAAGGGAGCCCCCAGGCCACAGCTGGTGAGCTGGGCACCCTGCCCATCTCTGCCCACAGAGCCAGTCACCTCCTCATTTCTTCTTGGTCTTCACCAGTCCTTTCTGCACGAGGCTGCGGTATAGTTCCTGGATGTAGGTGTAGACGCACTTGGAGTCGGGCACAGCCAACCGCACCATGTCATCCACGTCCAGCAGCTGAGCACAGTCAGCCAGTTTCCTAAGGAATGGGGTAGAATGAGGAGCAGAAGGTCAAAGGTGAAGGATATGGGAGCTAAGGGGATGGGTGCGGGCAGCCCAGCAACGATGAAGCTCATAGGATGGGCTGGGATGTTGGAGCTGGGAGATCATCTAAGCCAATCATCCCATTATATAGATGAGATAACTGAGGCCACAGCAGTTAAGACAAACCCAGGCCAGGTGCTGTGGCTTCCTTTAGCTGTGATCCTCCTATAGGTAGGTCACAGGATGTAGACAGGTAACGCCAAAGCCAACCCCAGTGAATACTTCAATAATGAGTTTGAGGCCAGGCACAGTGGCTCACACCTGTAATCCCAGCACTTTGGGAGGCCAGTGCGGGAGGATCCCTTGAGCTCAGTAGTTCGAGACCAGCCTGGACAACCTAGTGAGACCTTTTTGGAGAATGGGAGCTTCTCAAAAAAATAAAACAAAAATTAAAATAATAGAAGACTCAAACCCAGCTGGGTCTGATTCCAAAGCCCACATTTTCATTGCGCTTCTTGTCCTCACCTGGGAGCAGGACCCTCTGGTGTCTAGTTCTACATTAACCCACCACTTTCACATGCGTGTGTATCTGTCCTCTGGAACCGGGGAACTTCTGTTAGGCCAGGCCCCTCAGGAAGAACTTAAAGGGGCCGGGCGCGGGGGCTCATGCCTGTAATCCCAGCACTTTGGGAGGCTAAAGCAGGTGGATCACCTGAGGTCAGGAGTTCAAGACCAGCCTGGCCAACATGGCGAAATTCCATCTCTACAAAAAATAAAAAAATTAGCTGGGCATGGTGGCGGGCACCTGTAATCCCAGCTACTTGGGAGGCTGAGGCATGAGAATCACTCAAACCCAGGAGGCGGAGGTTGCAGTGAGCTGAGATCACACCACTGCACTCTAGCCTAGGTGACAGAGTAACACTGTTTCAAAAAAGAAAAAAAAAAAAGATAAAGGACAGAAACCAAATCCTAGCCAGAGTCCTGACTTGCAGCTGCAGCATCTCCAGGAGCATCATTCATTCATTTTCCATGTATTTATCAGGAGCGTATTATGTGCCAGGCCCTCTTCCAGGCTCTGGGAATTCATCAGTGAATAAAACCAAAGCTTCCACACTGTCATGGCATGGACATTCTTGTGGCGGGAGACAGCAAGCAACACACAAAGTAGGTGGTACATCAGATGGTGAGAGGTGCTCAGGAGGAAAATAAGGCAGGAAGGGACACGGGGTATCTCTTATGTTGGAGGAGATCTGGTATTTTTTATTTATTTTTAATGTATTTATTTATTTTTCAGATGGAGTCTTGCTCTGTTGCCCAGGCTGGAGTGCAGTGGGGAGATTTCGGCTCACTGCAACCTCTGCTTCCTGGGTTCAAGTGATTCTCCTGCCTCAGCCTCCCAAGTAGCTGGGATTACAGGTGTGTGCCACCATGCCCGGCAAATTTTTGTATTTTTAGTAGAGACAAGGTTTCACCATGTTGGCCAGGCTGATCTCAAACTCCTGACCTCAAGTGATCCACACGCCTTGGCCTCCTGAAGTGCTGGGATTACAGGTGTGAGCCACCGCACCCAGCTGTGGTATTTTTTAATAGGGTGCTCAGGGTAGGCCTCTTAGAGTAAGTCATATGCACATCTGGGGAAGGGAGTCCAGGCAAAGGAAACAGCAGGTGCAGGGGCCCCGAGGCAGGAATGCTTGGTGTGTTTCAGGAGCTGCTGGCACTTGGCAACAAGTCCTCTTTTTCTAACTTCGCAGCTGCCCTTTGGGGCTCTGTGACACCACTGGCTTTGCTGAGTCCGATAATCTGAGATAATCAGTGTTGAGGCCTCACGCCAATCTCATGCTTTATCAGACGCTTCCCCTTGGACGTTCTCATAGACTCCTTCCCTCCATCCTCAGCCAGCAGAAGAGGAAGCGGAGACTCAGAGTGTTTCGGTGGTTTGCCCAAGGCCAAAGTGAGCAACACAACCCCGGGGGCCTGTCTGACACCTCTGGCATCCTTACTCTGAAGCTGGGTCTCAGCAGTCACTGCCTACCAAAGCCAGCCATAGGTGCTGGCATAGGAGAAACCAGGGCCCCAGTGGAAATCCTCCCTTGGGGCTGAGACTGCAGGACCAAAATCCACGCTGGACTGGGAGCCGTGGGAAGGACACACACTGGAGGATTTTGGAGAATGGGACAAACTCCCTGCAGCCAATGCAGTGGCCCATGGTTGTGGGTTCGGATGCTGTCCCTCTGTGTGGGAGAGGCAAAACCTTCATTTCCACTGAGCCGGGGGAGTGGGTGGGGAAGGGCTCCGCCACTGGGGGCTTCAGCATTGGCCACTCCCTCCCCTCATCCCCGGACTCCATGGGAATCGGAGGAGAGTTCTGGAACAGGCAGTGGGGTGTGATGGCTGTGGCAGACACTGTTTCCTCTTCACACTGAATCTTTACAGCAAGCCCTGTGATGTGGGGCCTCTAGAGAGGCTAAGAGAGCTGGCCAGAGTCACAGAGCTGGGGAGGAGGAGGCGGGATTCAAACCCAGGTACCTCCGCTTCTATTCTCCTCCCTCCTTCTCCACACATCCCCACGACCTCCTGGGCTTTCAGCTGCCTGATGCCTCCTGTCGGCCTGTCATTGTCATCTGATGACTCCTCCCACCTTCCAGCGGCTCTGCCTGGCTCAGAACCAGAGTCCAGGCAGCTGCAGGAGCAGGACAGTGGTTCACAGCCCGCGGTTCAGGAGCACTTGGTCAGAGCAGAGCTGCCTGCCCTTTTGATATTCACTTAGAGTTGTAAATCCATACTGTGAGTTTCCCTTTCATTTTTTAAAATTGTAGTTTTTTTGTTTTGTTTTGTTTTGTTTTGTTTTGTTTTGAGACAAGGTCTTGCTCTGTCACCCAAGCTAGAGTGCAGTGACTCAATCATGGCTCACTGCAGCCTTGACTTCCTGAGCCCAAGTGATCCTCCCATCTCAGCCTCCCGAGCAGCTGGGACCACAGGTATCCACCACCATGCCCAGCTAATTCTTTGATTTTTTGTAGAGATGGGGGTCTCGCTATGTTGCCCCGGCTGGTCTTGAACTCCTGGCCTCAAGCGATTCTCCTGCCTCGGCCTCCCAAAGTGCTGGGATTATACAAGTAAGCCACTGCGCTTGACCCAAGCAGAGATTTTTGTCTGTTTCACCCACTGCTGTATCCCCAGAGCCTGAAACAGTGCCTGGCCCTCAAAAAGTGTCTGTTGGGTATATGAATGTGTGGCACCAGCATCAGTGTAACTGCCCACTACTCAACCCCTGTGAATCCAGTCCTCGCCTAGGATCCCATCCAGCTCTGCCAGCCCATGGCTGAGGCTTACTCGGCTGT